TATTATTATTATTATTATTATTGTCATTATTATTATTATTATTATTATTATTATTATTATTATTATTATTATTATTATTATTATTATTATTACGTTATTGACAAACAAGAAAATGGATAAATTTGCCCTCACTGATCTGCTAAAATGTAGCACCTCAACTAGCAGCGGGGCAACAAGACTAAGGTATATTTATTTTTATATTCCAGTAAGAAGGAGACCAGTGTGCAACTGTGTCTATTGTTTTCGCCGGTATTTGTGAAGATTTTACTTTAGGTGGAGGCTATGTATGAGTCTTCAGTGCTTCTATTCTGCTGGTCTATTGAGACATGCACTGGCATGAATAAGTGACCTTATTGTTCTATTTGCTTTGCATGTATTGTATTATTTGCAGGTCAGCGTGGCCGATCTTCCTGGGCTGATAGAAGGAGCCTCAGTTAACCGAGGACTGGGACATAGGTTTCTTAAACACACTCAAAAAGCTCGGGCCCTTGCTCTTGTGGTATGTAGTTCTTTCTCCCAGTTGGTGAAATTCTTGTCATTTCAAAAATGAGGCAGGCATTTTATAGAGAGCTTTCACAAAAATCCAATTCTGTCGGGCATAGTATGCAGAAATAGATTAATATTATATCTAGTTGATAGCTCTGATTAACACCGAGTAGAATTCTTTTCACTAATAGGCTGCTCTGACCGACCAGTTCTGACTTAAGTGCCCCTAGTTAGTTAATGTTGCCGAGTTCCGTAAGCTCTTAAAAAATTGCAAGAGGGTGCTCCAGTTTGCTGCGATTACAACTGAATATGCTACTAAAGCCCCGTGCAAACGGACGCAAATGTTGGCCATGCAAGAACTCCCAGAATTGTTAGATATCACATGTTGCGTCCGTTTGCACACCCTGTTCCATGTTGTTGGATGTTGTTGTGTGTTGTTGCACAAAGTTTGAAACCGGTCAAACTTTTGAGCCAACTTCTTTTGTTCTGTGCTCACCGAATCGTAGCGTAACAATGTTGGACTGATCCGTTTGCTCAACTCTTCCAACAATTTTGGGGCCACGTACGCGCATTAACCATGTTTTCCAAAGTCTTATGGGTTGTATCTTCAGGGTGCAAAGAAAATCATTTTTACAGCTTGCCATTCGGGCAAGCTGAAGCTAGCATTTACTAGCCCAGACGTCATTTCAACTAGCCCCAAAAACGTTTTGTTCTTCTGTTATTCAAACTCCTCATAAAACATCACTTGCCCGTCGGGCAAGTTAAAAACAGAATTCACTAGCCCGATAGCAAAATCCTCTAGCCCCGGGCTATCGGACACTACTTTCTTTGCACGCTGTATCTTTTAACGATGCACTGCAGGTTCCAAAATTATTGGGAGTTGTTGCATCCGTTTGCACGTAGCTCAACAATAGAATGCATCCCATCCCATGGAATATTGATACCTCTATAGTTAAAATTATAGTGAGAATCATTCTTTCGATCCATACGAATCTCCGCAGTCGAACGAACTTAAGCTGTGAATTATCTTATTTCCAGGTTGACATTGATGGATTCCGTTTGTCAGAAAAATACCCAGCCAGGACAGCATTTCAGAACGTTTTCATTTTGCTGAAGGTATAAAATATTGGCTTTGTTAAATTAGAATTCAGCTATTTAAGAAATCCGAGGCAACGACGGGCAAGGAGATTCGCACTTATACATTCCCACAACAAAACCAACAACGCACTCTAACCGTGGAGTTGTGGAAAATTTAATCGTACTTCGTTTTTGGAAAGTTGAGACAAACAGATGCAAAGGCAAAACAGATTGTGCACGAATAATTCTACTCACCAAGGCAGCAATCCTTAAGTTCCGCTCAACGGTGTTACATCCACTCATACATGTACTGAATGATGGCATTATCTAATTACTTGGTTCATGCATAGTAATCTGGTATATCTTCCTATGCGGAAAAGTCAAATGCTAATAATGCTCGTTAGCCAATTAACCCTTTCACTGCCAAATGTGGCCAAACGCAAATTTGGACCAAATTTCCACATTTCATTTTCTAAAATTTTGAGAAACAAATAGCACCATGTGAAAGTACAGGCAGAGAGCTTTTATTTGAATGGTCACATCATAGGATTTCGTCTGCAGACTCAAACGTTAGAGTCGCGTTACAAAACTCCATCAAGTACTCTGGCAGTGAAGGGGTTAATGCTTAGACCAAGTTACTGTTGTCATTACTAATCTATGCGAAAATATTTTTAGTTAGGTTATGGCTGTAATATTAGAGAGGTTAAACATCACTCTTTCGTCAAACGGAAGAAGCGAATTTGTACCACGTGACCAAGTTTCCTCTTTACTTGTCGTTTACTGTTCATTATTTCTACACCTAAATTAGTAGTTTCACGCAATTGTTGATCCATAAGAATTTTTTCAGCTGTTATTATCTGCTCATTCTCTATTTTGAGAATTTCACAACTCGAATCAGACGTTTGCCGTTTACGTGAAGCTTAAACTCTCTATTTCTTATTTCTTGCTTTTTTTTAACCTCTAGGAACTGGTGTTATATGACAAGGAATTATTAAATAGACCCAAGATACTCATTGTTACCAAACTTGATAAGAAAGGTGCGACAAGCAAATTTCAAGAGTTGAAGCAAAGAGTGAACTCTGTTCAGGAACACGGTAAGCCAAACTCTTGATGACCTTCTTTATCCATGAAAACGTCCAGTTACTTTGTTATAAAATTAGGTAAAAAAGATTACTTGCTGTCATGAGTTAGATTAACGACAAGCTTTCCCATTTAGGTGTAATAGAAACGATGATAGCAATGGTAAGTTCTTTTTATGAACCCCAACTGCAAACCCTTACAGTAATTAGCCTGTGGCGCATTGTAGCCCTGTTTCTTTATTGTATCGTGTTTTCAATTTGTAGGAACACTACTTTCCATCTTACAAAAAGTACTTTCAGACAGTCCAGTGCCTCAGGAACAAACAGATTTAATGGATATAGCTGACAAACTGATCAGAACGCGATTCGATTCTATATTACCGTTCTCCGCTTTTACGTCATTTGGTTTAGATGATGTGCGGGATAAGATGAAAGCCGTGCTATGAATAAAAGGAACTCTGGAAGATGTGTTATGCCGATTGTGTAGAAGTTAAATAAATAAATAGATAAATAAATAAATTCGCTAGAACTTGATGTGTCAATGATGTCAGTCTTTATATCTTTCTTGTTTATCAATTTAAGTTACTTCAAGACGCGCCGTCGAACAGTCTTAGTAAATGGCCACCAAATTGATTTAGAGATAAAAATTAATAAATAAAATAATAATAACAGCTCAAAATACCTGAAGGAAGATTTAACTGACAGAGGAAATGCAAAGTAAAGCATGTGTGGATAGAAGATTACAACACGTTCATGAATGTCAGTTTTTCAGCATTTAAGAAACGTTTATGGTCCTTATCTTTCCTTCTAAGACTATCATTTGCAGTAAACGTATATCGAGTTTTATTTTTACTATTTTGTTAATTTGTTGTTGCTGTTGTTGTTATTGAGGATGATATTTTTCGGTTATAATTATTACTGAAATTTTATTCATTTTTGGTTTATTTCGAGGCTATAAAGGTTACTTTAAGCTCTAGTATCAAAGCGAAGGTTGTGCTAAAGGCAAGTTTAGATATTTTTTTTAGTTTTTCATAGTTAAATTTAATGTTATTGTTTTTTGTTTGCTTGTTTTTGCCTTTGTTGTTGCTGTTGTTGTTGTTGTTGTTGTTTTGTTGCCCAAATGACGTGGTGATATTAAAGTCTTTGCATAAATAATATTATTTAATACTTCCGCGTATAATACATGCAAGGAAACAGCACTTTCTAGTTTAAAATTACGTTTTAAAAATTAATCAGTTTTGACTTTTAAAACTGCCCCCAAACGTTTCTTCAACTAGTCTTAAAGCTATCAGACACCTGAAAGATACTAAGCTATCGCTTGGAAGACAAATATTGACATTGGATCGTCTCTTTGGAATATAATAATCTGTTTTGATTTCGAAAGGGTTATGTTGTGTTTTTGTTAGCAAATATTGTGATTTACTTATTGAATTGATGCTGATCACCTTTTTAAGAAGGCTGAACTCGTTACGCTGGAATAGTGAATTTGAGAATGCTGCAAACTGAATGGAAAAGGGCAAAAAAGAGACGTTAAGTTCTACTTAGTTAAAGTTGTCATCAGTTGACTTTGTTTTTAAATCTTTTTACTCAATAAATAATTCAACAACAGTAGAAATGTCTTGCAAAGATATTCCAACGAAACCCAACGGAAGAAAATAAATAAAATGTCTCAGGCAATATTGCCGAAACTTTTTTCTCTTCCTTTGACTAAAGCAAGAATTTCCAACTCCGAAAATGCTACTGGAACGCATAGTCGTTAACTTGTTTAACAATAATCTCGTAGTTTCCTTTCCCATTGTTTTTATACACCACATATCCAGCCTTTGTCTCTGACTAATATCACTTACAAGCCGTGATTGGTCAAGTTAAATCAAACCAATTATCTTGACAACGGAAGACTACATTAGTGACCATCACAAATCAAAGTGTCAGATGCAACTACAGTGATCGTTCTCAAGGTCAAAGAATTCTCTCTTGAGATGGAGAAAAAATTCGACTTCAAACCGTTGCTCACTGATTCGCAAGATAGCCAGGGTTCCCCCCCTTTGAGGATATTCTCCATTTCAACCGCTAAACCGGAAAATATAAAGTTTGAGGAAGAAGAAATGGATCTTATTAGTGGTGGCAGCGATGTTTCTAGTGTTGAAGAAATTGCACAAGAGAGAAACGAAAATCCATCGCATGCATGGACCGAAGGAAACTGGGCCTTTCGGAGAGATGACATGGATGAAGACCTGCCATCATTCGAAGCGCGCTACGAAGCCATGAAAGAAATTTTTCCGTCGCTTGGTGAAAACGACGGACGAAGCAGCCACTTAGAGACGCTAAAGATCCCTGATGGGAGCAAAGTTGCGTTTGGCGAAGCGGACAAAAACTATAGAGACGAGTTGTATGCGAAGCTTCGGGAGGCTGTCGACAAAAGAGTCTCTGAGAATGTATCGAGATTGTCCAATCCCAGTTTAGTCTCTGGCGATTTCCTTTCTATACATGAAAACGGCAAACCAAAAACGGCGCCATCTTCTGTTGGAAAAATTGACGCTGAGAAACAGTACTTTTTTCCTGAGCTTCGAAATCTGATAGAAGGCAGAATAGAAGAAACCAAAGTTGACACGTTGGCCAACCGAATAGAACGAGAGCTGATGAGGAGGCAGCATCTTTGCAACGAGCAGGCTTTGATGCTGCAAATGCTTATGAACCGCGTCCAAGATCTGGAGAAGCGCGGGCCACCCAAACGAGGAACAACTCCTGTTCACACTTCGTCACGAGCGTCCCGTGGAAATCGGTGCATGTGCTACCACACAAGCAACTACATCGTGGAGAAAGCCACGCAGACTCCAAGTGAAGTGCACGACGCCGAAGGGGTGTATGTCATGGTCGCCCGAAATTCCGGGGCAAGAGCTAAGAAGGTGCAGAGAAGGGTTGCTTATGGCTACCCTGAACGAGTTACCGAGGAGAAAAAAGTTTCGGCGCTTTTAAGCAGAAAGATTGTCACTCAGCAAATAGAGTTTTTGCCACCAATCCCTGAACCTTATGCCAAAAAGCGACCTCGAGACACAAAGAAACCAGGGTGGCATAGAGTGTGATAGCGGCGCAGACTGGCAATTTCCTTTTGATCAAAACTAAAACAAAAAAACGGCAAATTTCGTTTATTGTATGATGACAGGTCCCCAATACCTTTAAGATTCCGTTTCCATGGGTATATAAACTTAGGGTATACATACACATATCGGCATCCCCCTCGCATTTTTTAGATACTTATAACCGTCAGGAGTAGCTTACTTAGTTTCTATCATGCACTTATAGCGTAACTGTCCAGGTCGATAAGCGATCTAGGAGGGGCTCTGTTGAGACTTAAAACTTTACTATAAGTGGTCACTACTCTTAGTTACACAGCTTGTTTTTGGCCTGCTCTTTCATTTAAACAAGACCTATTATATTCGAACAATTGGATGGTGCGTTGAACTTGGAGAGTGGACCTACGAAACCAAAAGAGACGATGCCCAGATAACAATGCCTTTTGAACCCAAATATTTTTGGTCTCTAGCTGGCAAACGGAATTCATTCCACACTATTATTTATTTGATAACTCCTGAGCTCCAAGGCGTTCTTAAGAATAATGACCGAGCGCGTAGTGACCACTGAAGTGGAACAGTAGTTGCTGGTTTGCACATGACGTCACGGCGGCCATGTTGGTGTTGTGTTGGTGGTCAAGAACTAAGCATTTCTCCCCCCTGGGAACTAAACCCTATTTTCATGTAAATTCTTTATTGACCACCAACACAGCACCACCATGGCCGCCTTGTCACGTATGTGCAAGCCATGAGTATTGACCTCCTCTTCTAACTTACTGACCTGGGCCGAGTTGTTCAAAGCTGGGTTAAGATAACCCAGGGTTAGTGCGAGATTTGAATTCAGATTTGAAAGCTTAAAACGTATTTCAGTTTTAATTCTTTTTGTCTACAAGTTGATGATTGAAAGCTCTAAAAATAACAGAAAATTATCCGAGAAAATGCTTTTGAATACAAGAAAAAGAAACCAGGGTTAAATTTAACCCCGGGTTAAGCGCTAATCGGTCTTCGAATAACTGGGCCCTGCTGTTTCATTAATTTAAAAAATGACCTGCTCAGCCACGTGCTGCCAGAAATAAATATGATGTTACACGAGACGATTTATAACGAAGATTTTTTGTGCAACAATGTTGGAACAAGATTATATGATTTTTGAATAAAGAGTAACTTGATCCTAGATAAGATTCAACGGCTTTAAACTCCAGGACAAAAACGTTTAGCACCCGCAAGCCTTCGATTCAATATGGGAAGCTTTATTATCAAGGCATGCTGTTCGACTGTGAATCACGTGAAAAAACGACCGGGTAGATAGCGTGGAGCTCGTAACCGGCGGCCTGTTTCAGGCAGGATTTCCTCCTACCCATCCCTCCCCCCGTTTGGCTTTTGTCTTAAACGTGTCATCTTCTCACGCAAATGACTCAATGAGATCTGGTGAACTTTTGCGAGGGAAGTGTCACCGATATATCCAAAGGGCATTCCAAATATCATTTGCTTTGTCTGCTAAAGGATGATACACCAAACGAACAGGAAACAAGATGAACATAAAAGTGGGGTTTTTGTATGTGATTTTATTATTTTTTTGTTTTTGTGAAGCTTTGTTGGAGCTCACACACACGGGTTACATCCCATTGTAAAATACAATAAAAATCAATTTAACTGCGGTAGAACGCTAAGATGATTGCAGCCAACGCGTATTTCGCTCGTGATTTCTTTCGTGCCTTATGTAATTTCTTTGTTTATTTTTACAGCATATTAATCGTACTAAGTGTTTTCAATCAAATTGCTAGATTTGTTAGATAATTGCTATTTATAGAGACTAATGCCCCATTCAAACCAACTAACCATCTTTAATTAAACCGGGTTTCAAAAAATGTGGCACAGTCAAAAGCCGAGGAAGACTGGAACGCAGACATTTGTCCAAAATTCCGAATAAACTTTAACATTGTCTGTAATTTGTCATTTGTTTAGCTAGTCAGCTTTTAAACATGTTTAAGCTTTTGCATGAATGAGGCATAAGTTCTATACCACTGTACTTCTTAGCAATACCTTTAAGAATCCGCGTTAAATGTACACTTTAAAAGAACATATTTTAAAAACATCGGATATATAGGGTGTATATTACTGTCATTGTGTTGTCTCTAATGAAATTTATTCGCATCATTAAAAAAAATTCGATCAGCGTCAGCTGCTTATGAATGGCAATCAAGCAGATCAGAAATAGATAAAAAATCAGTAGAAAAAAATTGAAAATATCTTAATAAAGCGCCTGAGCACCGGTTCTCTTGAAGACCCTTTGGAGTCTATCCAATAATTAAAAATAAGTATGATACATGCTTGATCTTCCCTATCGAAATTTTAATTGCCTACTTTCTAACTTACTACCGTTACTGGTTTTATTTAAGTGTACTAGATGCTTTGTCCTACTGAATAATCCATTGGACCCTAATTTAGGCTATAAAAGCATTTAAACCGTGAATCAACAAAGAGCGATTTTTTTTTTTACAAAATTGTAATCAACAGCTGGTCGCGCCCGGCTTATGACAACGGATGGGATCGTTATACGTTTCTGGGAAACTACCCACCTACCCCTCTCCTAAGCCAACATTTTGCCCGAAGTGAGAAGTAAGTGTTAATGTTGGCTTTGGGGAGGGGCAGGTGCGCAGTTTCTCAGAAACGCGTATAATGATCCACGAAAGCTTGCCTGGGCTGTGTCGTTAAGGGTGTACTTTGAAGGGGCATCAAAAACCTATGTCGCCAGAAATAATAAACAAGGGACATACTACCATCACTGTGCCTGCCCAGAAGGTATCATCTAATTAAGTTTATCTCTAAAGATAAGGTTTCCTCCGGGTTCATGAGGTGTCTGACCGATCCCTGAACTATGAAACAGTATAGATATAAGGGTCTACAGAAGATGTACAACATCATCCTTCTTTCATATTGTCTAAAATCAATATCCCCTTAAATCTTGCTAGTTATGTATTAAGCTACTTCTTAATTGTGTTGTCTTCTAACCAAAGATATATATATTGATAGAACTGTTTACAAAGTTTCTTTTTTTCAGCTTTATGATACATGTAACGACCTATCCTCTTTCTATGATCGTCGTGGCAACTATATTCCGTCACTTAACTCCTTTTCTAACTTTAATTTCAGCTAAGCAATGGAATGCACTACCTGAATTTTTTCGCACTAGTGTTTTTTGAAAATTTTAAGACCATAGTACAAGGTTTTACTACCTTTATATAAATTCTTTTTACCTTGTTCTTTATATTTATACTTGTACTATTTTTTTAATTTCTTTCTAAACGTGCATTTTCTAATAATTATATTTAGATAACGCTGTAAATATTAGTTTCTTTAAGTGTAGATATTTAACGCTCTTTATATATGTTTGGCTTTTTCGTAGAGATTAACTCTGTAACCTACTCTAAAATTTGAGTGTAAATGTGTGTATGTAGGTGTGTATATATCAACCGGTTATTAAAGCTATCTATAACGAGAAACTGTTTCATCCATATTATTTACAGGGCAAGCAAGCACCAAACAGAACTACATACGGGGTATCAGTGTCAATAGCTGCAAAGGCACTAACATCCTAAACACAGCAAAATGCCTCATGCACAGACATCATGGCTGCTTACCATTTACTCATATCACCCGGGTAAAAATATTAAATGCAGGAACACAAAGTATATCCAAAACAGCTGAACATACCAAAGTCAAGTAAAGTCATCAATTGTGTAAAATACGCTTACCTATCTATGGGAAAACTCACTAGCTACTTTGTAGGTATTAGACATTAAAATAAGACAGAAAAGATGATTATAATTGAAATATATACAAAATAACCTATTGAAAAGATAAACTCTGAAAAGTATTTACTTAATTCTTGAAAACTTCACAAAATAAGATAAAGCTAAAACTATTTAAAATGCGATAGACTGGTGGAAGTGGTATGTTAATTACAGTACACCTGACAAGTCCAGTTTTCTAGTACTATTTCTAAAAGCCGTGAAAAATCGTATGGGTCTATTTGAATTGGGCATTGAATTCCATAGTTTTGGCGCTTTAAGGCCGTATGTTAAAGAGTTTACCATTTTCACATGGGCCATAATGCACCTTGTTTACCTCCCCACTACTCCCCCCGCTTACAAAAAAAAGTTTGCATAACCATTGTCTTTGCTTTCTCTTGGGACGACTGTAATACCCAGGAGAAAATGGAAACAATGGTTTTGCAAGTGTTTTGGATGTAAGCAAGATGCATTGTAGTCTATATAAAAAGAGCCAATTGGCCGCTTTAAAATATCATTTAACCGGAGGTTGTCTTTTTTGTTTCCATGTTCAATCAGTTATTTAATGCTCAATGGTGCATGTTCATTGTTAATGACATTGAAAACTGTACATGCTATTTTGACGAGTAATTCAGATTACGGGGAGTTTGTTTTCATTAAAGACACACCGAAGGGTCACTCATTTATACTACTACATGAAAAATTTCTGCAATTTGATTGGCTTAGAGCAGTGGCATTTCAGCTTAATTTGAAATACCTACAGGTGAAAATTACAAACCTTTTGAGGGTAGTAGTATAAACAAATAAAGGCATGATTTGTACGTTATATTTGGCTTAAATACCACTTGTGATATTTCAAAATTGTCTCAAATTACATAAAACAGTTTCGAAATAGCACTCGTTGTATTTATGCCAAATAACACTACAAATCCTGCTATTACCTATACCAACATTCTCTAGCTTTGCAGTGGCACTTTTGTTACAGAAATGCCATGTCTCCGAGAAGTAGTTGAACTGAGTAATAATAAAAAAGTGACGTAAAGACACTTTCTTGGTTCCAGTGGGAGGATCATCTCTTCATCCGCGTAAGCACAACAACCTCCTGGGAGAACTTTTTGGCAAGCATTTCGAGTTCCTCAGTATTAGGAATTGCCGTGTCTTCGCAGTAGAATTTCGACATAATTGGGGTAAGCCCACAGGTATTGCTAAACTTATTAGAGGAGAATGGTTATGAAAAGCGGCAAACATCAAGGATAAAAACAACAGTGCTACAATTTATGTCGGAAGCACCCTGAAAGTGCACAATCCTTTGTTTCCTGTTGGCAAATTGTTACGGAATAAATTAATGCAACGTTCTTATTGGTCAATACAATCAAAATGAAAGGAATTCTGTTGAACGTTGTGCACCTTCAGGCCCACAAAAACATATAACAAGGGAGTCTGATGGGTTCACAACCATTCCACTCAATTAACTATGCTTAGCTGGATTTCTCTCTCTTCATGCCGTTTTTCTAGTTCCGGCCAACGATCAATATTAGCAAGATCTGCATTTATTCGACTTTCTCTGGTCTACTATCGGCGAAAAATGTTTGGGCATAGTCAGCATACAAAGGATAATCTGCTCTATTTCAAAGCTTCGTAAAGATATTAATTCCCGCTGAGATTTATTCCATTTTCAGGGGTAATCACCTAATTTTTGAGGACTACTCACCTAATCAACCCCGCTGACGTCGACTATATTGTAATCATGAACTAGGTCGGTGGTCAGCTCCATCGGATTTAAGCTTCTTTGCTATCAGTTTATGTGGCAAGGAATTGAATGCTTTGGAAAGGTCCATGGACACAATTCCAATGATATTATGTTGGTCCAGTTCCTTTCTCCACTGTTCTGCGAGGCTGAGTAGAGCAGTATCCGTTCCATACTTTTTCCCTGTATCCGAATACGTTCGTGAAAAAATACTTTCAAAATAAGAGCGGATATCTTGAGCGAAGTAAAATTCCAAATACTTTCGACAAGAACGGCAAAATAGTTATCGGCCTGCAGTTAGACTTGGTAAAGCAGCAATCCTCCTTGAAAACTGGTGAGACTTGGTGAAATTTCCATTGTTGAGGTTCGGACGTACATGCAAATTCATACCCCCACCGTGGTACGAGGGGAGGTGGATGGACCCCCCTAGAGTTTTTGATATGTTGCAGTAATTCGAAAAGATTTTTCTTTCAGTGGAAAGCCTTTGCCTTCTCTACAAGTTGAGGAATATTTTAAGGGCCTGTGATGTCACCAACCATGGTCGCATTTTGGATTTTACCACAAATTAGAACTCAGGTTAAAACCGCGAGAAATGGTGATTTTTTGTGCTTGAGATGAAAAATAGCAAATAAATAAGTACTTTGCATGATTTTAGTCACAAGATTTACTTTTATTGTTGAATCACTCTTCACACTTGTACTTGCACAAAAATGGCTCGACCACCCCTAATTTATGACATCATTTCCCGTAACCATAGAAACTGACAATCACTGAACTTGACTCAAAATGCGCGCGAAGGATGAACGAAGAACTACCGACAACATCAGATGCTAATATTTTATCCTCTAGGAGAAAACTCAGAAAAAATCTAGGGCGTGGCATCCACCTTGTCCCCCCCCCCCCCCCCCCCCCCCCCCTCCCCCGCGGGGTTTAAAAATATCCGAAAAGGGCACCTCTTTTTTTTGTCTTTTGGTTAGAAACCACGGTGGTTTTTTTTTTTTTTTTTTTTTCTTTATTTTTTTTTTTTTTTTAATTTTTTTTTTTTCTTACAATTATATTTAAATAATTTTTTTTAAATATTTATAATTTTATCAGTTTTTTTGATGAATATCATGTCCACATCTTACTCACTGTTTACCATGATCTGGTTATACAAAAACCCAACACATACAACACATCCCCCAAACACAAAAAAAACAAAAAACAAAAAATTAAACCAAAAGGGGCGCGAAGAAAAAAAAAAAAAACCCCCACACAACAAAATTTTATAATTTTTTCCCCCAGAGAAAAACCCAAAAAAAACCTAGGGGGGGGCCCCCCCCTTTTCCCCCCCCCCCCCCCCTTCCCTCGTACGTCCGAGGGTTTAAAAATTCGCTGAAAGGGCACATTCCTTTAATGGCTCTTGGTGAATCACAGTCCGTTGTCTTGTTTGTTTTGATCTTCATCATAGCTTCTGTTACTTCGAAGGAGTTTTTTTTTTCCTTACGGACAAAAGAGGTTTAGGAGTATATCAAAGGTCCGGGTTGACGTTCGCACCTTAACTATTTTATTAAGTATGACCAAGACTTGTGAAAAATGACTCCTAGGTTCAAACCTTTCAAACGTGTGAAAAAGTTGTTCAAAGTCTCTGCCACCTCTCTTTGGTCCCTTATGATACTTCCATTGTCCTTCAATACAATGCGCCCGTAGAACCTTTTGCTTGATCGTACTCCAGAAACGTTTAAGACAGCCCTGTAATGTCTTTCTTCTCACGCTGACAATTTTACTTTTGATTAATTGGTACCCTTCCCAGTCTTCAGAATTTCTGGATTTGTTAAATTTCTTCTTCAGACGATCGCGTTCTCATTCTCTTGGCGAAAATCAGGTGTAATGAATTTAAATCTTGTTGAGATAACAGGTGTGTGGTCATCAAGAACAGTCCATGTTAAAGAGCTTTAGATTCTAAGACGAGGAAACTACGAGTACGAGATTTAATTTAAAGATTTTTTTTCCCATCTCGCAAGAATAATAATAGCGCATTTTTAATTACTATTATTGTCATTTTATTTATTTATGAGGGTTTGTCCCTTTCCAGGTTTCAAAATGTTTAAACTTCTAAAATTTGATAACTTGTTCCCGCCACTACGACCTTCTAGCTAAACCTCGTAGTAGAATGACAATGGTTATCGCATTTGCCCGCAAAAATCACTTAACTTCACGCGCGTGTACTACTTAGTATTGGAAAAATCTCGTTCTCGTAGTCATCCTCGTTTTCCGAACGGAATGGAACGAACCATTTGATTTTCAAACCAGAATAGTTCCGCTGGCAGGTGGCCCATGTTTACTGTTCTGAACCCTCTGACTGCTGGAACAGCGGATGGCGACATATTGGGCAGGTGCGTCTGCAACAAACAAAAGATATCAATAAGAACGAAAAAGAGCCTTCAGACTCTCTAGGGAGGGTAAGTACAAGATTTCGGTATATTCAGAGTTCTAGGGTCGTTTGGGTGGACAGGCCTTAGTTACGATTGGTCGATGGTATGCAAGGCAGCCATTAACCAATGGTAATTGAGTAACTTTTGTCCACCCAAACAATCCCAGAAATCGTTGCGTGTGCCGAATGTTTTTACCTATTCCCCGTATAGTTTCTAGAATGGGGAATTAACAAAAAACAAAAGACGTCCATCGGGAGAAACTATGGAATCGAGGTCTTGGTGGGGGAGCAAAAAACAAGCAGAACGAGCGGGTAAGATTTTGGAAATCATTCTTTTCACTGTGCTACTCATTGCATTCTGATCGATCGATATTTCATGGAAGTATGTTTCTTAGAATGCTTAGACTAGTAAATGTTTCCAAAATGTGCTTCGAGCTCAAAATAAGCTATACTGGGAGTCTAAAATACTAATCTTACACGTTTCATTCATTGGTAGTTTTCTTTGAGATCTCGAAAATTGAAGCTGGAATTGAAAATTCCATATGTTTTATTTTTACTCACATTCCGTTTTGAATCATAGCTATAGCACAGTCCTTGTGCACTTTATGGGAGCAAGGGAGAATCTGACAGCCACTGAAAGCATCCTGTCATTAAAAGGAAACAAAAGTTGTTCACTGTTGATGTACGAGTAAACATAATTAACATTTAATAAGAAGTGTAATTGTACTTAGTGCCGAGAGTATATAAGGAGGTAACTATCCGAGCGTTTTGCATTTTTTTCGAATTATACCTAACTAACGTTGTCGTATTCGTAATGGAAGAAATAAATTGTTAAACCCTGACTTTAACTTGTTTATTTTTTTTCCACCTAATTAAAGACACAAATAGCCATGCACATCTTGTGTTAAAGCGTTTTTAGTGAACTCCATCATTGCCAGACATCTCCTTCTTTGCTTTTTTTCCTTCTTTCATTCTCATATTAAATCATATCCTACACCATTGCCCTGGTACAAGCAGAGACAATCAGTGGATCGAGAAATCTGCCTAAATAACTGGACAAAACAGGACCACGTTGGGAAAATTGCTAAGAGAAACTAGCAACTTTTAAAACAAAAGCTATAAAGTCAATTTGGAATACCCAGGTTTACGTTAAGTAACTACAATTTTTTTGTTACCTCCAGGCAAATGCAGCATTCATCATGGCCGGAGTCTGGTCGGCATTTGTGTTTCCCTTGAAGTCTTTTGTCCAAGCAAACGTTGCACACGTTACAGTGGAAAGACTTGTCACGATGGATTCTGTGCCGTTAGAAAATAAATTGTTTTAATGAATGAAAAACCTGGTATTATAATGAAAGGTAAGTTGCCGAATGTACCAAACAGCACGAAGAAGCACCATAAAGAAATAAAAAAGGAGATTTTGTTTGCTTTTTTTTTTAAATTTTATCCCGTCTGTTGCAGAGTCTGGTACCACCACGGAAGGGGCATTGAGTTGTTAGTTTGAAGATGGAATAAGGATTCCCCCAACTACCGCTGAGTCGCACTTTCTATCTCTTGTGAACACAAACTAGACCTTGTTGAAATGCCTCAACCGACCAAGACAAAGTTTTAGGTACACGGGAAGTGAGGATATCAATCCAAAGATGTCGCCTGGTAGTACAGAGATAATAAAAATGGGGTTGTTTTTGGAAGGCGGACTTAAAAATTCCCAACTATTACTACTTGTTCGTCACCCCTTACTTCGCAACGGTAGAGATTGTATATTGCTCTCATTTTTCGAGTGCATGGATGACCTCAACCCAAAAAGACCTTCAAAGCCCCTTTCTTTGGCGATTACGTGTTCTCTCCACGTTACATTTGGAGCAGATAAAAGGATGTAGTCTTTACACTTCATATGTGTACCAGTGTAAAAGCATTAGACATAAGTCAATGTTAGCAGACTGATATCATCAGCGACTTTATGACGTCAAAAAATATTTGGATTTGCCCTTTACAGGTTTCGCTCTTCCGATTTCATTCAATTGTTTTTTTAAATCGACATCTTGGCTAAATTTTAAAGGCGATTCTCGTTTGATGTCGCCATAATTCCGATCTAGAGCAAATATTGGGGAATACCGTATCGATATTGGAAACCGCTTGTGGTCTGCGCTGGTCAATAAGCACGAACGAGATCAAGTTATTATTTTTTCCTACGCTACTATATACCACCTTCGCGTACCTACAGATGCCACACTTGTCACAATGGAATGGATTCTTGTCGAGTGAGGTAAAATGTTTACAGATTGCGCAGAAATAATCCGCCAGTTTTAAGTTACAGCCACGGCACTTTTGACTTCCTTCATCGATCTAAAGTTTTTGAATATGAGAACGTTTGTCAGAATAATAACATGCACTGGCTATGTTTTGAAAGGGACAATATTTACAACATCACAAAAAGGTAAAAAAAACTTGAAGTATGGACTTAATCGTGTTCTATAGACATCAAATATTTTAACTACGAAATTCTCGACGCGGTGAATCTAGCGACATAGTCGAACAATGATCAGGTACAAAAAGTAAACGATTGAAGCTAAGGGTCGAGTCAACTCTCCTTAAGACTCCATAAGACAGAGATCTGGCTAAAACGGACACCTAGGGACTGTCTCGCGTTTCTTTACTCCTGTTTATATGTGATCTGACTTGAGTACAGTCGAGTACAATTAATAAATCTCCGGAACCTGTCACGTTATCTTAATCTGAAAACTAGATATTTCATGATCTTACCACTTGTTCGTGGTAACAGACGGTACATCTGATATGTGTAGCGTTTATGGCCCTTGCTTGGTCATCAGTGCATGCGGCCGACTCATTGTGACATCTGTGACAGGGATAGAAACGCCCGCAACATGGAAAACGGACAAGGCATCGCCGTTGATAATGACCGCATGCAGGACGCGGGCTTTCTTGCACTGGCGAGGTATGGTCTTCTTCCTCGGTGTCCGTGGTGCGCTCATTCCTCGGGAGAGAGGCTGCTTGTTCTCCTAAATATTCTTCGGCGTCAGTTCCTGTACGATCACAGTTCTGACCCACTGCTTCTTCTTGTATACTTAATTTTTCTGTTTGCTGGTCTTTGTTTTTGTCGTGTTTCACTTGCTCTTCGCTGGCATTGATCGAAGCAAAGAGATTAACAGTTGCTGACATGACCATTCGAAGACATTCTAGGAGAGATTCTTGGGATCTTTGATTTGAATATTGCTTCAATTCGCTTACAGCAACGGAGTGTTCTTCAGTACAACTTTCTGAATGTTCGGGGGCTTCACCTTGGGTACCCTGTTCAATCATGTATTCGTCTGCTAGTGAACGCATTTCTTGGTAAGGACTGCGTGTTGTTGAGTCGTCAAACAGTGGTTCACAATCTTGCAGCAAAGTTCCTTCATCGAAATATTTCGCGCTATCACTGTGGTCGCTAGCAAGGAGATTACCTCGTCTGACGCAGTGTTCGGAAGTTACTGGTGGAGATGGAAAATGCCAGCTTTTGTCTTGCTTTGAGAAAGGAAAATGGCTTATAGTTTTTGAACGGACAGAGCCCTCGACAGTACTGCTACCGACGAAAACATTCTTTTTAGATGAACGTCGACAGCTGCTTTTTGACAAGTGGCTATTTAGGGGCCCGTAGGCTGTTAGCCTGTGCATACTGTTTACAGTGCCGTAATGCTCCAGAGTATTGCTTTCTCCAGGATCGTCCCACGTTGCCCCATTGACGTTGGTGTTGTATAATCTAGATGTTAGCAGGCTGTTGTTGACAGCATGGCGCTCCACAAATTCAGGATCTAAACCAGCGCCGATTTCCACGGGTGGATAAGCATATGTTAAATCGACTCGACCGGCGCTGGGAGAATAGCCGTTTCCTGCTACAAAGAGACTCTGCTTTGGTCTCGCGCCACCAAGATTAAGGTGCGAGTGACTGATATCTGTGTTTTTTGAAGACTTTTGCTCTACAGGACCATCGATTACATCAGGATCTCCAGAATTGTTCGGACAGTGATTGTGGATATGTTTCCGCTCGTCGGTATTCTTTAAACCAACAACGCCTCCGTCTGCTCTGCCCCCTTCGAGAATTATTCCATCCTCCTCGGCATTTGGCTGGGAGGAGCCCACAGCTTTTAAAGCAGGATTGACCGTACATTGTTCAGATCGTTGCGAAGTGACCTCTGGTGTATACCCATCAGCTATTACGTCACCCCCATAAAACGTAGATCGGGAATTGTTTTGCATACAATTTTTGCTAATATATTCTATATTTGGCAAGGCTGGACCACCACTAAATACGTCTTCAGTTGTTTCCAAAAAAGGTCTACTAAAATGATTATCCTCTTCAGTACATTTCCTCTGGAACGAATCTAAAAAACTACTGGTCTCCACTTTTTCTCTGTCTTGTGTGCTTGAATTGGGTGAGCTTGAACCATCGATTACATCTTTGCTTCCTTGCGGGGAAGGATTTGAGGAATGACAACCTGAGGCTAAACAGCTTTCTATGGGAAGAAGGATACTATTTTGTTCCCCAGATTTGATGGAAACTTCTTTATTCCCACCATTTTTAGCGTCTTTTTTACTTAATTTTCCCGTTTCATTGCCATACCTTCTATCACCGAAATCTCGTGGAAATTTTTTACCATGAATTTCAACATGGCTTTCGACTCTCTTCACAGCCAGCTCTGTGACTGCCAATGATCTACTATGATCACCATGGAAATATGCAAAGTTTTTCTCCAAAGAACCAGATACTGAAACTTCTTTTCTAGAAGTACTGTTTGCGATGACATTAAGATCAACGCTGCATTTGCTTTGAGTCGAGTCTTTATCGTTTGTTTGAATGTTTTCATTCTTTTGTAACACTCCATTTCCATCTACCGCTCTTCTTTCCGCGTTCTCATCTTGGCTAATTTCTCTTGGACCCATTTGAAGTTCGCACTTTCCTTCATGATGACAATCATAGAAAACCATGTCACAATCTGACGTTAAAACTCCGCAAGGCTCATTGGCGATAGCACCCGTGTCGCCAGGGCTTAGCAAAGCAATTCGAACAGCCGATTTTTCGTTACTTGACTGATCTTCCCACGTTCCTTTCTGACTTGCTGAGTAATTCAAAGGTTTTGAGCTGTAGGGACCCCCTCCTCTATTTTTTGCCTCATTTGTGTTTTCTTTTTGAAAGATGTGTACAGTTTCATGTTCTTTAGAGACGTTTTCCCCATACATATCTTTCCCTCCGCCAAAACTTGCGAAAATATTTTTGCTAAAGACATTCTGACTGGCTTCATCTCCTGAAGCTTCCAACAATGAGCTCAATTCGTCCTTAGGCTCCATATTTTCAGGCAGATGGTTTCCTTTCGAGTTCATTTCCTGGCGCATTTCCTTTTTTCTTAAGCGCCCTTGAATTTCTGTTATAAATGAATTTCTTGATTCTTTGTCTTCCTCAAATAATTTCCTTCCTAAAGAGACGTCATCGTCCTTTGAGTGAACCTCTAAAACTTTTTCCTTGACTGGTAGTTGATCTATCTCTGTGTTCACGGGATGATGAGATCTCGAACTTGATGAATCGATACTCTGAGTATCACGTTCATAACTGCAGGACGTCTGCTCAAAATCACTGAACATAGTTTCCCCAGCAGCACCACTAGACGTCAAACTTCGTTCAGGATATGACATTGACTCTTCATCAGGGGGACTGGCTATGTCACCCAGAGTTGATTTCCCAACGTGCGTTGTAATTTCATCTTCGGGTCGTATCTCGTTCTCAGAGAGTTCACGGGATAACTTACTGATTTCTGTCAGTAACTTCAGAGTACTTACTTGAACATCTGTTCTCGGAGATTCCTCCTAAGAAATAAAAAGCAATAGTTGCAAGGCAAAGTATGGGGTATTATTTCCACAGTATGGACCTACTGAAAGGATAGCCTTGATACATCTACCCCGTGTTATGAGGCAAAGACAGTAAAGAATATTTTCCACTTGTATCAAAGGAACTTGAGCGAAAAATGCTCAATTGAACGGGGCAAAACTATCGAACTGAAGAGGAAACCATAAACCGTCTACTCCTTAGGAGATTGAGCCGCTATTTCGGAGAGATCTACAAAGTTAACCCTAATCGACAACATATCGAGGAAACTGGAACTGGGTTTTAGGACCTGCATGTTGCCATGGCTGACTGACTGATGTGTGAAAAGGTAGTTCGAGGTGTCTCATATGAAGCCGAAGGGTAGTGATATTGATTTATAGGGGGAAATAGAATTTGATTCAATAAAGAAAGGAGACACGCGGGGGGGCGTGTAACTCCACCGCCAGTATTATAAGGAGATTCTGCCCTCTAGGCAGAGTGTTGACTGACAGACCTGACCAAGTATTAAAATACTTAGTTCAAGCATTTCTATATGCGCAATTCAGGATATTGATACCATCACATAATAAAAGGGTGTTGACTGAAACAATGCTGTCTTGTTATGCCGCGATTATTCTCCTCTTCAGAATAACAACTTTTCTTCTGTGACCGCTAACTGATGATAGTTAATATTCCAAAATATTTTCAGCATGCTATTTTTACCATGCTGTTCAACTCATATGTACAAAAAAGGCAGCCAGTTAAGCAACTTACGTTTTCTTCACTGTAAAATAGAGAATCTTCCTTTTCTTGCTGAGCATCATGTGAGAGAAGAACAGTTGCTTCCAAGCAATTATCGAGGGCATTCTGAGGTCCATCCGAGAAGGCACATTGCCTTCGCACCACATTGACCTTGCATCCCACTCCATGTGTGCCTATGAGTGGTTCAGTGAATTGCTCAATAGCTTTGCAGCAAGGACTTGAACGGCTGTAAAAATCTTCGTGGAAGTTAAATTCTTGCCTCACTTCGTCCAGCTGGGTTGTCCTGTCAGTAATACGTATGACTTGAACCTTCTGCATGATTGATAAATCCTTATGCCAAAGGGTCACCCTAGCTCTGACTGGATCGACGGATGTAAGGACTAGACACTCATCTTGTGGCCTCAGGGTCGACTTGTCCTCCCAAGTGCAATTCTTAAGAAACCAAAGAGAAATCTTGCTAAACATGGCGCAAGTTGTCTGCTTATCGGTAAAGCTCATGCATGTTATTCTTTCGCACAAACCAGGGGTCATCTCCGAAATGGCCCCACGTCCGATGGGTATCTTGCTCTGGCCGACTTGTTCAAATAGGCAGAGAGGCAGGAGCTCAATACGGCCGCCACATGTCATGATATCCTGCTCGCAAAAGGAAGTCAGATCAACAACAGCCTGAGTTGCATTGCTATCAAAACCAAGACATTTGAGTTGAACAAACTCTTGGAAGGAATGCAATACCTTCTGTTCCAACTTCTTCACATCATCGATGTCCATAAGGAAAGGTGAACTGAGAGCTGCAACCAAATTACAACTTGGCTTATTGCTTCTGTAGGCTAAGCTTCTGAATAAAGGATTTCCATCGAGGTTGCACACCCAATCGCTTTTGTTTTCAAAAATCGATGAGGAAACAAATACGTCTTGTACTGCAGTTTGTCCATTGCAAGTTACTGACTTTCTGGAAGCGTAAACTTGAAGTTCGCCATCGAGAGTTAAAAAACATTGGTCTTCATTTGGAAATTGGCTGGCATAAAAATCGTACGCAGCAAAAGTGGTATCATGCGCTTGTAGGTGAATGGACAGGAACAGAAAAAATATCAACAATAGCTTCAAAGTCATCTGATTGTCAAACGGTAACATTTCTTCTTCTTCTGAGTGCCCTTCATGGCTGTTTTCATTACCAATTGCTTCTGCTTCAGCCTTAACTTCCTCTAAATAACTTTTCAAATCAGGGATCTTCAGTGTGTTTGTACTTGTCAATTTTGTCTGGCTGATGATAGTGTACATGTGGACCAATGCTGCATTGGGACAAGCGATATTGTTTGTCATACCGTACCTGCTTGCTTCTTTAAAGAAGGCGAGGGCTTCTTTGGTCATTCCGTGCTGAAGGAACTTCTTGCCACTTTGTAAAAGGTCACGCATGCATTTCTGAGAAATTATCAAAGTGGACTCAGAATGTTGAACTGTCACCACTCTGCCAACTTCTTGTTGCTTTCCCTTCTGCCTTTTCTTTCGGGAGGCATGAATGTCTCTTAATCCTAGCTGCGGAACCAGAACAGCTAACGCTAGCCCATACTCTGCAACAAGACCTTCAACTATTTCGTCCCGTATTTCTCTCCGTTGATATTCCCAATGTGAGTTGTCTTTAGTGCTTCCTGTCAGTGCAAGGTACTTCATGGAGAGCTGGTCGTGAAGTGAAACTTGGTGTATGATCTCTACGTTCTTCATTGCACACTGAAAGTAAAGATTTGATTCTCCTGCACGGTCTAATCGAAAGGCTATATCACCAAGTGACGTGTAGCAGTTTATGAGGAGTAGGTGCTTTTCGCCAAAGATTAGTCTCCATATCTCCTTTGCGTCCGCAAATTTCTTGAGTGCACTGGCTAACTCACCCGTAAGTCTCAAAATCGTTCCTTGCTTGTATAACAATGAAGCGACGTTGAAATGATCGAAGCCAAAAACTTTCTTGACAAATTTCAAACCCTTTTCAAGAAGCTCTCTCGCAAATTTAATTCTTCCGGTTTGGACAAGGACATCAATCATCTTTTCAAATGACTCAATCCTGACGTTTACGTGAAGTCCCTGGAACACTGGCATTAGTTCCTGTAGGCTTGCCGAAGTTAACGCTTCAAAAGGAAATGCTCTTTCTGCTTCATCTTGTTTGGCACGAAGTAGCAATACCTCGCCGAGTTGGAGACGAACAAAATTCAGTAACAAGTCACACTCATCTCTTTTCATTTTCTCGCAGAGCGTTTTAAGGAACTTTAACTCTTTTTCTGCTTGTGCGAACATGGCGAGAGTCGTGTACAATGTTGCTTGGTTTAGCAAAACCATAAAAGCTGTTTGAAACGGCAGCTCATTATCCTCTGCTTTGCATTTTTCGACCAGTGGTTTCTGTTCCGTCACTGCCTTAGAAAAGTATCTACAAGACATGTCTAAACGACATGTGTTACTTTGCACTGCAATCAGCATAGAGTCTATGGTTGGACCGCAGAATTGTTCATTCTTGCAGCAATTTAAATGTATTTGCGAATTCTGGAAATCGCTGCTCGCCTGCTTGTATTCGCCTGTTATCAATAAAATGCAGCCTCTGTTATTAAAAGAAGCTCCCATACCACGCAAACGACTTGTTAAATCTGATTGTCCGTGGAGCTCAATCAAAATACTGAATGATCTTTCAGCAATCTGAAACTCTGACGTTTCTGTGGCAAATGCTCCGAGAACGTTGAGCAGCCGTGCATAAAAACGTGCATTACCTGAATCCAAAGTGATGATACCATGTTTAACAGAACAACTCACGCCTTTTTGTCCTCCCCAAGTCCAGAAAAGTTCCTCACCACGCTCTACTACTTGTACGTCGTAGTAGGATGGCGTTTTAAAGTTCCTTGAATCGAGTCTTGACACCAACTCAAAAGCTTCCCGCAATACTGATCGAGACTTTGCAATAAAATCACTCTGGAGTAGGTCCATTGCCTGGTCAAGATATTCTATAGCCATCTTGGCGTCCTCTTCGCTGTCATTTCTGATGTAGCAAATCTGTGGACATATGCGATCAATCTCTCTTCCTGCTTCAATAAGGCAAACCTCTCCAATGTTTGTATCGTTGTCGTCATCTCTAGAATAACAAGTTTCCCGTGAATTTTCATCAATCGCGCTTCTTGTTTCATGATCAGATCCTTCAGCTGTAGAAGCTGAATCACTTTGGTGCACTATAAAATAGGATAGAGTAACCAAAAAATGCATACCATAATAATTATTAGCCTGACAAAACATCCAGTGTTTCGCGACGGCGCCACCACTGGTTTCCCCGCAAAATGACGTCTGAGAAACGAGCACAGAAATTCCATTCTGATGACGCGTCACTAACCAGATCCGAGTGGTGCTTTTGATTTGCTGAAAATTGGCTTCAACTGATCAGATGCACAACCCAGATCTGGGTAATAACGCGTCATCACGTTGGACTTCTGCGCCCGTTTCTTAGACGTCATTTTGCGCCAGGAAACCAGTGGTGGCGTCGCGGAAAGTCGGTCAAATAATGGGGCTAAATAATTCGAACCCCCAATATATTAAAATTATCTTGGTTTGCACTGCAATGCAGCTTTTTTTTCCTTTTTTTTAATGCACAATAATAACCAAGTGCCTAATAACTCACGATCTCTATAAATTTTGAATCAGAATCAAACAATGAATACTTTTTATATTTTTAAATCAACCAATCAAAAAGGAAGACATATTGACCTAATATTGACGTTAAAACATTTAAAAAAAACCGCCCAACTTAAACTAAAAATGGGCTAATCTTATTGAGATTCCACCGCGTTATATCCATGAGGTAAAAACAAAAGGATAACACGTCGATAGACTACGCGGGAAAAATGCATATAAATCTTAAAATATATGATTTGTAACCAATTAGAAAAGAAAACTTTCTTAATTTATTGTTATTTTACATACACTACTGGTTACTTACCTAATGTTTCCCCAAAGGATCGACGTGCAGAGTTTGAAACTTTCATTGAAGGTATGAATAGTTTCCTTAAGCACTTAAAACGAATTAGAACACTCTTAAAGAGGAAAACCCCTGGCCGTTTTATTACTATATGATATGATTCCATAACATCAGATCCCATTATTGTAGCAGGCATGCAGCGTACACAATCTGCAAATGATAAGCAAATTAAATGGTTAAAGAAAACGTAACCATCACCGGTAAATCTTGTAAATTAAAACACCGCCGGAAAACTTTAAATATCAACTTGCGTTATATAAACAGATAATATTGAAATGTAGGGACTATATGTTTACAAGGTCAGGGAGGAAGATGCTAGAACGCGAAACATCCTCTAGTGCCATATGTTTTCTGCATTCAGTTTACATGCAAAGAATTGTCCTTGTCCCTAGCGCTATGAACCTTCTGGGACTAGGATCTAGCTGAGAGGTAGGAAGATCCTAGCATCATATAAACTGCCTTCGCTAGGAATATCTAGTACTAGGGACAAACTAAACAAAAATGGCGGCGCGTCGTTTAGTGGGTAATCACGGCAATAAAAGGCGGCAATTTCTTTAGGCGTTACCACGAGCTGGCGATTTTGATGATTTTGACCTCGTGCAATATTTACGACCAGTTCTGTTACCGAGTTACTGCGTCAAACCAAAAAGTCAGCTGGAAAGTGTCGTGGAAAGAAGCAAGCCATTGATACTCTGTCGCTAGGGTAACGTAGACGCGAATCAAATAAAGCCAGACGAGTTAAAAGACGAGCACCAAAACGAGAAAGCCAAGATGAAGTTTCTCTTCATCCTCCGGCGAAGAAGAATAAAGAACCGGAAGTTTCTACATTTCCTGCTACTAAGAAATGGGCTGGAAAGACGAACAAGTTGAACTGTTCATAAGCTATATCCAAGTCTACAAGACCTCGTGCGATTCTAACGAAAGAGATCTTTAGGCCCAAATTGCAAATTTGTTATTGTCGCTCTCCATCTTCAGTTCCTTTTTTTCATTGGTAACCACACAAAACATTTTCCCCCCTTCTAGAATCTTCCTGGTGGTAGGATTTTCCTCCGTCCATGTAAGCAGCCCCTTAGATACACCGACGTTAGCCTGCATAACAGGCGCTTTATGAGCCAAGCGAGGCAAACGCGGCATTTTGCGCGAAGCGCGAGACGAGGGGAGGAGAAAAATAAAGCGCCTGTTACCAGTCCATTGTTTTGGCTCTTCCGCCCACCTGCGCCCAACATTTCTTTTGTTTTCCTTTCATTTCTGGAACATCTGGGAATTCATGGGAAGAGAACTCGTACCGGAAGACACCGCAAAAGATCTTGGGGTGATTTTGGATACTAACCTATCCTATGAAGAATACATTACCAAAACTGTTTTCCCCTGTATGTCTTGTCTCAGTCAAATAAGCCGCACAAAGCATGTTTTTGACAAACGCACCCTTGGCTACTAACTATTTTGAATGCTTTTGTTTTTAGTAAAATTTGTTATTGTTCAAACGTATGGGCGAATACATCAAAACGTAATATAAGTAGATTACAAAGTATTCAGAACTTTGCGGCTCGAATTATGACAGGTACGCACAAATATGATCACATTACACCAGTTTTAAAAGAGCTTAGGTGGCCGCCAGCTGCAACTCAGTTATACTTTAGGAACGCTATCATGGCCTTTAAATGCCTTACTTCCCGAGTGCCGGGGTACCTTTCCTCCCAGTTTATTAAGCGAGGAGAAATAAGCGGGTATGCGGGTATGCCACGAGAAGTTCACAGATGCTGAACATTCCACTTTTCAAGTCTGCTAGTGGTGAGAGGACGTTTTATTATAGAATAGTCAGAATCTGGAACTCCATTGATAGCCGTCTTAAAACTTTTGAGTCAGTATCTGCCTTTAAGTTCAATCTGAAACGTAAACTGGTCAAGGATTTTATAGATTCTTAAGTATTTTATCATGTCATTTAAATGTTAGTGTGAATATTTTTATTAGAGTTTTTAAGTAGAAGTTTTTAAATTAATTAATACATTATACTTCTGATAAAATATTATTTTAAATATTTTAAGCGTCCTGGAAGTAGGTGTTCATTGTAGTAAATTTTCATATTTTTAGTTGTATGTAATTAACTGAATTATTTGTCTTTGAAAAGCCTCCAAGAGGAAAGTCAATAAAGTATGTATGTATGTTAAAAAAAAAACTATGTATGCATGTATGTATGTATGTATGTATGTATGTAATTTACGAAAGGCTTCTCGAACAGCATCGTCAAAAGGACATAAATGCGTGAGGGTTATTTTGTTCCAGACAAACATGCCAGAACAACGCGTTATCAATTAACCAATTGGAACGCAACGTTCATGTAGTGATCGTGGGAAGAGCCAGAACAATGGTAACAGGCGTTTTATTTTTCTCCTCCCCTCGTCTCACGCTTCGCGCAAAATACCGCATTCGTCTCGCTTGGCTCATAAACTGACCTGTTATGCAGGCTACACCGACGTAATCCGCGCCAAGTAAAATCATTTGACTTGTAAGCCACCAGGGACCGAATTCTTAAGTGAAAAGTTTGGGATCAACCTAACCAGAGATCAGGAGATTAAGTTGGCTGATTCGGCAAATGTCAATCAATCAAAAAAGTGGGCGGCAGACGTTTCGTAGAAGGTTTGTATCAGGCTCTATTTTCGTTTCCCCATGCCCGCGGGAATGTAATTTTCAAAGCGAAACGAAAAAAGAGCCTGATCTCAGGTTAGGATCAACCCAGACTTGATCAAAAACTGGGGAATAGAAGGAGATAATGACTGCTCAACGCCAATAAAAACTTTTCGCTTCGATTGCCTAGATTTTTGGGAGCTATACAGGTTTAGAAAGATAAATAGGTCTTCTTCCAGCAATTAATCTTCCGAATAAATAAACTTTATACCATTTGTGAGATAGCCAAGACTGAAAATGGACTGGCGGAGATAGAAACAACGTGAAGTTTCTCAGAAGTACGTAACTCAATTCCTGCGATTGAATATCGAATTAAGGGGAAAACCCCTCAATCTTAATTTAATTTGCACATTAATAACAAGTGAAACATTTCCTCATGTCTAGTTTCTTTTTTGTGCTGTTATTGCAGTGAACTAATTGGAAACATTATAGAAACGAAGACAATTCACTTGACTTTTCAATTATCTAAATAAACCAGATAAACTAAAGTGATAGAAGTCTGTATTTTTTTTTTCGGCCATAATAAAGATCGGGGTATTTAAAGTTGAAGTCTACAAAATTCCCGAATTTTAATTTGCTGCAGTTGGGGTATTACATAGCCTTGATGATTCTTTAGAAGACTCTTTATGAAAAGCTCTATATGGTATTCAAACTTATTGTTGGTTGATTCATTTTTTGTTTGTTAGTTTTTTTGGTCTGCGTGCAGGACTTTTAAAATATCGAAAGTGGGCTATTTTGCAAAAGGTTATAATTTGGCAAAGCAGGGAAGCGACTGAATTTATTACTGTTAGAGCGCTTTCCATTGTCAAAACTGTCTGCAGGCCCGACCCCTGTCATAATGAAAAGTTCGCTTTAGTCAAATATCTCCAGCCAGATTGGTCAATTCCTGAATAATATGCATGGGCTTGATTCAGTTTTATTGTTATTAATTTATTTCCGTTTTAGCGAAAACTCTAAAAAAAAACCCTATTTCATTTTCGAAATGACAGGTTCAACGAAACAATTGTGACTTATGGGAAACGCCCTCAGTCCCTAAAACTGGATGTGATCATCACTTAAATGTGAATTGAAACTTGAATCGTTTTCATTCCGGTTAAAAACTTTGCACGAAAACGTTAACCATTTCTGCAACTGGACGTATTTTTTGATCCAATACAACACTCTTGATGAGTTTCAGTCCATGTTCAATTATTTTGAAAATGTCTGAGTGACCTACCCATCTTTACTGGTATTCAAACTCTTTTGCTTACCTGAAAGAAGTCCGATTCGATGCTAAAAAACTGTAGCAGTCAATTGACCATGC